CAAAGTGTGGAGAAAAAAAAGGAACTGCTTATGATCCAAAGCTACAAACTATCTGTGAAGCATGGTGGAGGTAATGTCATGGCTTGGGCGTGCATGGCTGCTTCTGGAACAGGCTCATTAATATTTATTGATGATGTAACTGATGATGATGATAACATTCCGAAGTGTACAGAAACATTTTGTTTGCCAATTTACAGAGAAATGCATCCAAACTAATTGGGAGGAATTTTATCATGCGGCAGGACAATGACTTAAAGCACACTGCCAACAAAACGAAATACTTCATCAGGAGGAAAATGTAGAATGTTTAAGACAGGCCAAGTCCATCGACCTGACCTTAACCCAAAAGAGCATGCATTTCACCTCCTGGAGGAGACTGAAGGGAGAAACTCCTGAAACAAACAACTGAAAGAAGCTGCGGTAAATGCCTGGAATAGCCTCACTAATGAAGAATGCAACAGTTTGGTGATGTTGAGGGGCCGCAGGCTTGAGGCATTTATTGCAAGCAAGGATCATGCCACCAAATATTAAATATTTACTTTAAGATGATTTGTTCTTTTACTTTTGCTCACCTAAAAATGATGTGGTCTAATACAAACGGTGAAATGTCCTGAGTTGTTTAACACATCTAAAACCAGCTGAAATATGAACTCTTGTCTCATGCTCATCTTTTGATCTTAAACGTCTTCAGTGAACAACAAAAAAAGGAATTTGCCTTGCTGTTCCAACACATTTGGAGGGGACTGCATGTACAGTATTTGTTCTTTTATGTGTGTGTATGCATGTGCGTGTACACGTGTTTATGTGTGCATTGTTTCAATAGAACACCACTGTCATTAATTACATTGGTTGAGACTTGTGCTTCCACCTTTTCAACCAGCCTAAATTAGTTATTTTTCTTTTGCAGTCTCACAACTTGGCTTCTCATTAAAGTGAAAAGTAACACACAATATCTAAAAAAAAAAAAGTTCAAACTTCCAGCATTTCTTCTGTAATGTTACTTAAAAATCCCATAGATTCATAACTAGACTAACATGCAATTAGATCATATCAGACATTTATTTTCTAAACATGAGCAAACAAAGAGTAATATTGTGTATGCTGTTCAGTGGCAGGAGGGCTGTGATCAGTCTTACATCGGGGAAACTAAACAGCCACTGGCCAAAAGGATGGACCAGCACAGAAGAGCAACATCAGGCCAGGACTCTGCGGTTTACACTGATCTGCAGGCCAGCGGTCACTCTTTCAGAGATGAAGATGTTCACATCCTTGGTAGAGAGGAACGATGGTTTGAGAGAGGAGTGAAGGAAGCCATCTTTGTGAAGAGAACTCATCCTTCGTTAAACGGATGGAAGCCTTCTTGTCCAACTGTCGCCCTCTTACAATGCTGTTATTGCTAGAAACGCTCAGCCCTCTGTGAATAGCAAGCAGTCATCAGGGCACTAACGATCAGTCATTAAGCTGATGGTCCTCCTTTTGCATGTGAAGAATTACACTGCCTGGCCCCCAAAAAAAGTCGCCACCAAAAAAAAGGTGACACTAATGTTTTGTTGGACCGCCTTTAGCTTTGATTACAGCATGCATTCGTTGTGGCATTGTTTCTATAAGCTTCTGCAATGTCACAAAATCTATTTCCATCCAGTGTTGCATTATTTTTTCACCAAGATCTTGCATTGATAATGGCAGATTCTGACCACTGCGTAAAGCCTTCTCCAACACATCCCAAAGATTCTCAATAGGGTTAAGGTCTTGACTCTGTGGTGGCCAATCCATGTGTGAAAATTATGTCTCATGCTCCCAGAACCACTCTTCAAAATTTGAGCCCAATGAATCCTGGAATTGTCTCTTGGAATATGCCCATGCCATCAGGGAAGAAAAAATCCATTGATGGAATAACCTGGTCATTCAGTATATTCAGGTAGTCAACTGACCTCATTCTTTGAGCGCATACTGTTGCTGAACTTAGACCTGACCAACTGCAGCAACCCCAGATCACAGCACTGCCCCCACAGGCTTGTACAGTAGGTCACTTTTTTTTCTGGCCACATTTCTTCCTTGAAGACGATGGGTCCCCACCATCCTTCAAGTTTTTAATAATGCGTTGGACAGCTCTTAACCCAATTTTAGTAATTTCTGCAATCTCCTTAGATGTTTTCTCTGCTTGATGCCAATGATTTGACCCTTCTCAAACAGACGGACATCTTTTACACGACCACCCGATGTGTCTTTCGACATGGTTGTTTAAGAAATGAGAAGAAACTCATTACACCAGTTGGGGTTAAATAACTTGTTGCCAGCTGAAAGATAATAGCCCATACAGTAATTATCCAGTAGGAGGCTCGTATCTATTTGCTTAGTTAAATCCAGCTGGAGACTTTTTGGCCAGGCAGTGTGGTTTTGGCTGTCACCAGCAAACTGGTTGATCCACTGAGAAGGTGCTATTTATTAGGGATGCACTGATCCACTTTTTTTTTTTACTTCCGATCCTATCCCAATACCTAAATCTAAATATCGGCCAATACCGATCCAGTTCCGATATCAGTTCTGAGAAGGACTTCAGAAGGAACAAAAACATCTACACCC